TGTCTAAGCAAAAGCTTGTCGAGGAGCGAGGGGAAGAAGGGAGAAGTGTGAATGTGCGTCTTGCAGAAGCCGAAATCAAACCATTAGACTAGTCAGCGCTGAGTAGTCTATTGGTTTGATTTCGGCTTGAATAGTCTACCATGTATGACACAAGATAACACACCCCCTGGATCGATTGTCAGAGCTCGATCTCTCAACAGCAGAAAGGAGTCACAGCAGCGCCGAAAGCGACGGCGTTGAAGCCGTCTCGTATAGAGCTTTCCGAAATATGTATCGTTTCGTTTATGCATGGTCTTCGTCGTGGCGCAATCGAGCTTCGAAGGTCGGCCCAGGGTTTGTGTTGTCTGGGGTCGTATGCGGTATATTTTTTTCCATCTAAGAACACGCTGGCTTCTCTCTCTTTGTTTTTCATGTTGCGTCCCCGAACTTGAAAAATATTTTACACGTCCCCAAAACAAAAACAAGCAACACCCCCAATCATCACGTCACAATTCTTCCGTTTTTCTCGCGTTGTTGAGCTTTTTCTTGCGTTGATGACGTTGATCCGATTGCTGTGGGTCCTCTTTTCATCCGGGAACAACGGGTTTCTTGAGCGGGCAGCAGTGAAAAAGCAATGTATCGTAGGCAGTGGGAAATGCCACAGGATGGGCCACGTAATCTCTTTAAATGCCTTTTAGTACGCATGTTGCAGAGTCTTCATGAACATCAGGTGATGTCATGAGGTCGTTGTATTGCCGACGTACGTATGTTGCATGAGTCTCCTATGAAGAGCACGATACGTTACTCCGCAGACCCTCATCCCGTCCTGAAAAGAGGATATGGCAGTAGCCATTCCCACCTAGAGAAGGACTTCATCTTCACCGAATCCATTCAACCCTCTCGCCCCTGTGTGTACCCTTGCACTCATGCCGTAGGCATCCCCACCTACACGAGAGCTGTGTCTTTACCAAATGCATTCACTCACCCCTGTGCGCGAAAATTACACATATAATATATATATATATATATCCGCTCTGCGCCCACCACGTGAAACGAGGTGACGTGTTTCGTACTCTCTACGCACAATCCTTGAAAGTATGCTGCAGCCAAGGCGCCAATAAGAAGGACGTTTTCTAACCGAATTCCTTCATTCACCCACCCCATGTGTGCGACCAAAAAAAAAAGCAGGCGCTCTGCGCCAGCCACGCGAAACAAGCGGGAGCATCGGCGGCGGCGGCGCCGTCGCCGTTATCGATGACGACCTCGGCCGAGAGATGCATCCACCCGGGTTGCGTATCGGCCGCGCTGCACGCCCTGAGAGGCCGCGAAGGCCTGCGGCGCGTCTGCGCCCGCCACCTCACGAGCTTCTCCGCCGTCGGGGACTCGGAAGACATCGCCGCCGCTGCGCCCGGGTCGGACCATGTCGACGCGGTGGCGGCGTCGGCGGCGACAAGCAGCATCATGATGGCGGACGAGGACGACGATAGCCCACCAAGGCGCGGCCCTTACCGCAAGGGGAATTTATTCAACGGTGGCGGTTTGTTCGAGGGGAGCGGCGGCGGCGGCGGCGGCGGTGCCGGTGGCCGTGGCGACAGCCGGGCATACTCCTCCGGGCTGCTGCCGCCACCCGCGCCGACGGCTAGAGACGATGGGGATGCACCCACCGCCGGCGACGGCAGTGATGACGACGATGCCGAGCCCATCGATTTCCGGCTAAAGCGGGCCCGTACCGCCAACCACCGGGATGGCAACGACCAGCATGAAGCAGAGGAGGAGGAGGAGGAGGAGGAGGAGGAGGAGCGGAGCAGCAGTAGCCCTCAAGCACTACTGCTCCCCGCGGGCAAAGCGAGAGGCGCCCCGGGGTCGGATTTGCTGGGGAGGATGGCGACGGAGAGTCCCGGGGCCGGGTTCAGGATGCTGCTGCAGACGGACACCGGGTGGACCCGCTGGAACTGGCACACCGCCCTCGACCGCACTCGCACGACGCTCCAAAACGTTGGCGAATGAGGGTGGTCGTCGCCATCCCTGCTGCTGCTGCTGCTGCTGCTGCTGCTGCTGCTGCTTGGGCAAATGTTGGCGGCTGAGGGATTTCGGCCACTGCCGCTTGAGAAAGAGGGACTGCCTAGAAATGGATGCTTAAGACTATGACACGCCGCCCTCAGCCGCCCCCGCACAACGCTCCGTGACGCTGACGGTCATCGTTCAAGACGCCGCTTGAGAACAGCAAGCGGGACTCCCTATACTAGATAACTTTTATTTTTCCGTTTGATTCTATGCATGTTTTTGCAGCATTGGGGAGTTTTTGCAGCAGCAGCAGCAGCAGCAGGACGATCTTATGTCTGTATACGGGAAGGTGTGGTGTTTGTCAAAAACCGATAGGAAAGAGTGAACGAGATACGTGTGGTTTTTCCTTTTGTGAGAAATTGTCAGTCACCCTGCTAGAGGCAGGAGGAGGATTGGGAGAAAGTGTGCTTGTATGTATATAGGACCGCGAGTTTGTAATGTTAGACTACAGTAGCCATGATTTCGGCATCGTGTTTGCGATCAAAGTTTTAAGTAGTGGCATCGGCCGAGTTAGACCCAGGAGAGGCTAATGTGGGTATTCTTTAACTGTGGTTACAAATTGGAAGCAGAGATGTTGAATATTGTAGTATGCATAGACTGAGTTGATGTACAAGGTATGCTCGCAGGAGATTGAAAAAAACGTGTGATTCTGATAAATGAAATTTTTCCCGTCTAGTAATTGATAGTAGGTGTCTCGATGGGGAGTCGTCTGCTGATGAGAGATCACAGGCAAGCCTTCTGTCAAAAATATCAATTGTGAGTTATTTTTACGAAACCAAATTTGTTGACTGTAACGGCGTTCCTAAGGTGCATTTTTTTGAGTTTGTATTGGATACGGAAAAATGATGAAAAGATAGAAAACCGGTGGGAAATAAAGGTTTTGTTGTTAAACCACGGATGAGTGGGGCTATGGCTCCGCAGCTCATTTTTCAGGATCCGATGACGATTGATTGTACTTTCGTGAGGGAGGGGGCTGCCAGATATTCCTAGGGAACCACTGCATTTCGGAACCTTTCTGCAAAAAGTGCAAGGCGAACCGGCGCGCGAGGGATGCTGGGGCGTAGCAGCATTTTTTGTTGGTGTTCATCATGCAGTAACGGCCCTTCACCAAGTGGACGTTTGGAGGCTCTCTTGGTGCACGATGTCGAGTGAAACTCGGCGCAGAGGTTGAATGGGGGGGGGTGTTCTCGGTGTCGTACATACAGTCGTTAGACCATGGATCTCGCATCCCTACCAAGCCGGGATGGAGCACGCCGGGTTCTCACAGGTGCAGGCTCTCGCATCACCAAGCGCGAAGCGCCGTGAGGTATTCGGCAAGGTTGAAGGGGGGAAGAATGTGATACTGGCTTACATACACGCATGTCTTCGGGGTGATGGGTACGGTGGGGGTTGCACACTGCTTTGTCGCCCCCATCTTGGTGTCGAGTTGTAGGCGTTTCCCCATTTTGTATTTTTTCCGAAAAAACAAGGCTCCCCGTATTACGCAAAAGCATGTGTGTGCTCATTTTCTGGGCCGATGATGCTCGAAAAAAGGCCCAAACTGCCGTTTGTGCTCGTTTTTCTGCCAACTTTGCTCTCAATTCGGTCAAATATGTTCGACTAGATTAATTAATGCCCAAATTTTTCGATGCTTTTTTGTGCTTTTTGACGCTCGAGCGTGATGGGGAAATGCCTGTTGAGTTGAGTCTGTTGGCATTCACCCTCTGGTGATGGAGTTCTTCCATGTCCTTCGTTGCGTTAAGACTGCGGCTGCTGCTCGCTTCCACGCCCTGCGCTCTCTCGGTTGTGGTATTTCGAGGTGCAGCGGCGTGATGGTGGTGCCGGTCTGTTCCCGTAGATATCTGGCGTTTTCACTCGTCGATGTGTTGTTTTGTCGTTGTGATGAATTTCTCCGAGTCGTGTTACCCTGTTTCCCTTCTGCTGCAAGACTGCTGCCCATCGACCACGCCAGTCAAGTGGAAAATGTATGATCCTTCGCGTTGCAGTCGTCTGATCGATAATTCGGGTGACCCAGTTCTATGTGCTTGGAAGTGTAGAGCAGCTCGGCCATGAAGGGCCGTAGGGGTAGGTAACGTCGTGCAGACGTGTTGTATCCGTGTATTGTTGTGTTGTAGTTGTCGGGGGCGTGCTCGTGCTCGTCAAACCATCACGGTATCGAGTCACGCCTTCATGCTTTCTCACACAACGAATCTCTCTGAATCCTCACCAAAAGCCTCTCACAACCAAGGAAAATATGTAGAAAGTTCCTGTTCCTCCGCATCTCATCACTGCAATATTCGTACGTACGTACATAACATCTCAACCATCATACTATGCTACGAGTATATCGAATAGCCCCCCTGCTCGTATGCATCGTCATGCTCCGGGAAAATATCATAGTCATCCTTCTCATGCCAGTTCATCCCAAAACACAATCAAAACCAAGAAAACGAAAATACTTCAGACACGACAAAAGTATCCAAATAGCATACCAACACACGCTAATCACTCTCGCTCTCTTTTGAAAATTCTCAACTCAAACTCTTTTCATCCAGAAAAATATGACGAACGCCGTTCAAAGACGCCTTTCCTTTCACCGCCAATTCGTCACAATATCTCGGTTCGTCTCTAAATCCGCCTAGCTAGATATCCTACCATTACCAAGATGTATGCAATCCTAAGACAAATTATTCCATTAATCCACCAAACCTTCGTCCGCAGGTAAAACGCGAAGAAGAAATATCTCCCTGAAATACTCAAAATATATCATGAATGTTCGGTGAAGAAATGTCAGCAACGCCATTTCGTTTGAAAGAATATAACGTGCCCCCCTGCTCCGAGGATCCGCCCCCCTGCTTTGTGAAGGGGTCGGAGTCAAGCCGAAAAACAATACGAGAGGTGCCGAAAATCATAACAGTACTTCTGATCCTCTCATCCACACTTCAATCAGATCTGAAAAACCAAACCCAAGCTCAAATCAAACAAAACAAACGCCAAATCTCAAACTAACTCAAATTCAAGATGAACCTCAATGCGCCTACTTTTCCAGCCATAATCCCCAGCGCATTGGACCACTGCCCCTGCCATTGTTTCTCCCCCGTGGATTTTCGCTCGCCTCCGCCGCGGTCGCCTTCTGTGCTCTTCGTCCGGCTGGCCGCGGCTGGAGCATCGTCAGCAAATCGTCCGCCTTCGTTGGGGGAGACCACAATTGTCGCTCCAGAAGGATTGACTCGGCAGCGGTGGAGGGCAGGTCGCGCGTTCGGAAGGGAAGATGGTGGCACAATCAGTTCCTTATAAAACAGCACTCCTGAGGAGAATCACATGCCACAACACTCCCCCCGGTTCTGCACAGGGGTGACTGCTGTACCAAAACAAAATAAAATACAGTTGGACATCCAAAATTTCTCTTCTGCTCACGCCGTGAAACTTCAAAGTTCGTGTTGTGCCACCGAAATGGTCTTGAGTGATCTCTTCGGAGGAACGCATTTGGTGGATCTTGCTCCGCGTCATGCTGAGTACTGCCTCTTATTGCTGTCCTCTACGATCTAGTCGGGAATTTAGTTTCTGGGTCAACCTCGCTTCTTGGCTGAGTGATGCCTCGGACTATTTTTCTCTGCGATCTAGTCGGAAAACGTCAGTCTTGGGTCAAGTCTCGCTTTTCGCCGAGGTCCTGCCACGCATATTGCTGTTCTCTCCAGCGAAATTCTACCCAACATCTCCTACAAACTTGCCATGAAATCCTACGTGCTTGCGTCAAGAATTCTGACTGTCCTTCAAATGCGTAATATGTCCACGCTTTGCTGTTGTGTCGGTGGTGACGTGGTAGTCCCACAAACAAAGTTACGCATCATTTTTTTTTTTTTTTTTTTACCGTACTGCTTTTGGTGTGATAAAAGCCCCTCATACTCTTTTCGTTGCACGATTGGCAACTAAACTCTTGGAAGCATAACATCCCCTCATACGTGCTGTTGGTGGCTTGATAACCCCTCACACGTTCAGTTATCTCGTTCGGGACAACCGTACTCTCTCTTTCATCCCAACATCACACATTTCGCAGAATTCCCAACACAGGAAACGATTCAGACACAAGACAAGACAAAAAAACTTTCGGAACACAAAACAAGGCCATATTCGTCTTCGGACAGAGGACATGATCATTTCATCACGTGCCTGAGCGGGTCTGGGACCCTAGTAGCAGAAGTGGTGCTGCTGTAATGCGCTGAGCCGCCCGTCGGGGGCTCGCGCGATGGTCAGGGGGATGTCGTCCGCGGGCGTGGTCGATGGTTCTAGGCGCGCTCCCTGCTGCTGGCCTACCTCGTACTCTTCGCTCTCTCGCATGACTTTTATCTAACCCTCTCCTGCTTTCACCTCGCAGCTGACGTCCGGACTCCTGTTGACTTCTTCAGCTTCAAACCGCGCGCTCTTGTCGACGCTGCGGGAGCTATCTTGTTCTTCGATCCTGGCGTCCTCCGCTGCTCGGCGGGCCTCCGCTGCTTAGCGGGCCTCCGCTGCTTGGCGCGCTTCATCTTGGCGCCTGGTAGCCATCTTGACCCTGCTCTCGATCGCCGCAAAGCGATACTCCTAAACCAAGCTCGACCGCGAATCTCGTAGACGACGTGTCATCGCTAGCGTGATCGATAATTCGGGTGACCCAGTTCTATGTGCTTGGAGTTTAGAGCGGGTGGCCCATGACGGGGCGTGGATGGGTAAAAACGTGTTGGGAAACGTGTTGTATCCGTGTTGTCTTGTTGTATTAATCGGGGGCGTGCTCGTGCTCGTCAAACCATCACGGTATCGAGTCACGCCTTCATGCTTTCTCACACAACGAATCTCTCTGAATCCTCACCAAAAGCCTCTCACAACCAAGGAAAATATGTAGAAAGTTCCTGTTCCTCCGCATCTCATCATTGCAATATTCGTACGTACGTACATAACATCTCAACCATCATACTATGCTACGAGTATATCGAATATCGTCATCCGGGGCTGCGTGGAGTGAGTTTCACATGCACACGTGGTGGGTCCTCTCAAGACGCCGAAATGTGCCAGGCGAATGGACCGGGGCGCTTTTCATAGGGACCGGCGTTTGCTTGCTTTGGAGATCCAGTCTGTACCCGGGGATTTCACCCGGCACGGTTAGTTATACAGGTCCACCGGCGTTGACGTTGATGAGGGCCCGCTACTGCTGCTGTAGCCTGAAGAGAGAGGTTGCAGGTCCAGGGCACTGCTGCTTTCCTTGTTCATCCTTCTTGTCGTCTTGCGCGTACTCCACGCAGGTCCACCGCCCACCACCCACAAAGACAGCAAACGACCAAGGGCTAGAGTAGAGAAGAACTGCCAAAAAATTGCTCCGGAAGTCCTGCTTTCCATTTTTTTTTTCCTTACCAATCAATCTCTCAAAAGGAAAGAGTCCAAGGTGAGTGGCAAAGAATTCACAGCGTCAAGCTTTTCATTATTTTCTTTTTTTTGTCTCCCTCATTGGACTCTGTCGTCTGCCCCTCTGGCCCCTATCCTCCACTTACTTCTACCAGCTGGACGACCCAACCGGGGACACACAGGAGGGGGGGGGTTGGACCCCCTCCTGCGGTTGTTCTCCTTTGAACATTCGAAGAATTGCCCGAATGCCGGGATGAACGCATCCTGTGTAGACTACTTTATAGGTGTGTACCTTGATGAGCTCGAACATGAATCATGAGTGAGTTCTTCGTGATTAACATCGACCGCGCTAACCGGCTGACCAATGAAAAGACGTCAGTCTCAGTGCGGCTGAAAGCACAGAACACTTCAAAGTAACATGAACTGGGACCCCGTGAGGGGGTGGCATGGGCGAGTTTGCACGATTCTCTGGACAAAATACAGGAAGAAACGGTAGCAGCAGAGGAACCCTGCACGTGTCCATCAAGGCTGCTACCTTGCAATCGAGTTCGTTTTGGGGTGATTTCACCATCATCCTCCTTGCTTTCACCACGAGGTCTCTCGTAGTCTCTCAAGAGAGCAATAAGATAACACCAACGATACAGTGTTCCGGGCATCCCCTGCCTTTCCCCCCGGCATGTTGCCGAACACCACTCGCTTCGGGAGAACGGCTCCAGCGAACGTAAATGTCAAGGTCGTGTCCGGATGATGATGCTTTCCACGCTTTGGCATCAGGCCGATTAACAAGCCCCGGTGGGTGCAGAAGAGCTGCTGATACAGGTATTGTTCGTTATCCCTATCTATGCATAGCCGGTGGCGTATCTTCTCATCAGCGGATGGTTGGGACTTGTTGCGGCTACCCTTGGGGCCCCGCCATCCACCCGTACAGCAGTAGCAGTAGAGCCTCTCCATCGCCTCCGCCTTGACGTGAAGACAGGTGCCCACGGCCGTGTCGAAGCGCTCCCGGCTGGCATATTTTCGGAGACCAACACACGCCCACACACACACGCTGCTCTGCTCCGTCCGGTCGTTTCACACGTAAGCGTGTGAGTCACCACCTTGTCTGAACCGGCCACCATTGTATCGCATCTCCGCTGTCCGGGCGTTTTTCTCTTCCTGCTGCTGCTTCGATCACGAGTCAGTGGTGCCTCGAGTGGTGGTGGAGGAGGTGGCGCTCCCTCCCTCGGCCTCTTGTCCTGCTGCCGCCGCATGTATCATCAGGAGAGATTTCAATGATAATTTCTCTGTCCCAGGCACTACTCTGTACTGCTGTCTTGCATGCCAGACAGTTCAAATGGTGGTGGAGAAAATTGACATAGTAATGCGTGAAAGACGTGTATTGTCGTGAAAGACATGTATTAATAGTATTATTATTATTTTGTTTGCCCTCCGACAATTGCAGATAAATGCAGACATACATAAAAAGTCGATCGTAAAGGCCGTCATGCCAAGCCAAATTAACTCGATGCCCAATAATAGCTAGGAATGTTTGCCTCTAAGTCAACAAAACTTTTGTCGAAACACAACAGCTGAACTCTAGGCACGAACCTTTAGATGGAGAAAAACGAACAAAACCCCAACCTCATCCACCCGAAATCAAACAAAACTCGGCCCCGTCTTCCCTGGTACCCCTGACACCGTGTAAGATATACTCGCAGCAGTCTCTAGACGTGAGGATCCTCGGGGATACGTGTTGAGAATTTCGTATGTTGATGGGTACCACCGATGCAGATACGGGGACCCTTTTGGCCTTGGTTGCGGTGTTGAAGGCTCGCGCATCTAGCGCACTGCTTTCGCTCTCTCCACCGCTACCGCCGTCTCTCTCCAATCAAGTTTCCTTCTCCAACGCTTTCTCCAACGCCAACGCAATCTCAATCTCTACCTCTCTCTCTCGGCCTAACACGGCCGACTACCCACTGCCCCAACAGACGCCCAACACGGGCTTGCTGCACCCCGCGTAGTTTACCTTTCACACTAGTGCGAATCAGATTCAGATTCTGCGCGCGGTCGTAGTACACCGGGGGGTTGTGCATTCACGCGCAATCGGTAGACTCCCACAACAAAAACATCATGCCTACCTCGGAGGATTCCGAAATCGACCTCTCCACCCTCAGCAAAGAAGAGCTGCAACAAGAAGTTCAACGAAGGGTGGACGCCCAACTTGCGAAGGAGAGAGCAGAAATCGCCCCACTGCCAGCAGAACAGCAGTCACCTACCATCGGCGAGCAGTCGCTACGTCCCACACCAGCCGACATACCGCCCACCGGCAACCAGCCTTCACCCTCCAGCCAGGGATCCCAATCATTCAACAATCCCACCAACGTCGCCAACATCGTGGCGCAAGCGGTCAAGGCGACAGCCGAGGCCATGTCTGGACATCAGGGCTTTGCCCACACAGGCACGTTTCGTGTCAACCCCGGCTCTGAGATAGACCCTTGGCTTGGAAGTGTGAAGAAAGAGCAGGATTTGTATATTATGTTTGATGTTTTTCGCAGTAAGATGGTGTCGTATTTTCAGGAAGAGGGTGTATATGATGTATTAGGGATCACCGATGTCAAGGTTGGCAAGAGGGGTGTGGATCTAGCAGAGCTAAGGGGCATCTTCGGGACTGATGTGGTGGACAAGTCGTTGAAGTTGTGGAATATTATCATCAGCAAGATTCTATACCCTCCGATCCAGAACTTGATCATGGCATGTGAGAGTCCCCAGCAGGGGTGGAAGATCGTCACGAATTTCTACCAAGAGAAGAAGGAGTCTGAGAAGACTAGGCTTGAGCAAGAGTGGTTGGCGTTAGAAATGCGTGAGTCGGAGAACCCACAGGATTACATAGCAAGGTCGGAAGCTCTTCGATTACGTCTTGCCTCAGTAGGAACTATCAAAGACACAACACATGCTTACAAGGACGTTGTGCGCGGCCTTCCCCCATCGTATGCCGTGCAAAAAGGAATATTGCTAGCAAGCGATGTCGTGACTTTGCATGCCCTTGAGACTGTGGTGAGGGACGCCCACATGGAGATGGAGCGCGAGAGGAGCAAGGAGCAGAGGCGCGAGGCGGAGCTCGCCCTCGTCGCGTCCGGTGCGAGCCGGAGCGGCGGGGGCAATGGGGGGGCATCCGGGGGACAAGGAGTAGTCGACGGTCAAGACCGTGAAATCCGTGATGGCGAGAGAAACCGTGACGTGTTCGTCGAAGATCCCACCGGTTTTTGCCGCTACCACCAGTCCGAACTACACACGAACGGGCAATGCCGTTACCAGCAGCATCTGCGGCGGACTCGCACGAGAGCAGCCGCCGAGGATCGCCACGGAGGTGGCGGCGGAGGCCGTGGCGGCGGCTGGAGCCAGCGAGGAGGAAGACCGCCGTCGGGAGCCGGCCGGGGTGGCGGGCGTTGGGTGAGAGTTGAAGGGCAGCAGCACCACACCGGTCATGGTGGCGGTGGCTGGAGCCAAGCCTCACCCCCCCCGCGACCTCTTCGTGGACGTGGACCTGGTGGTCGTCTGGGGCGGCACCCGGGGGGTCGAGGGCCCTCGGGACGCCACAGCAGCGACGGGCGTGCCGAGAGAGAGCGGGCAGGGAGAGGCCCGGGGCACGCGCGTTCTGGCCACGGAAGAGAGCAGGCGTACGTTGTGTACTACGCCCACGATGATGGTGGCTACTACGAAGACTATGGCGACTACGACGACGGCTACTACTACGACGGCGGCTACCACGACGCCGGGTACGCCCACTACGCCGGCGGTGGAGACAGCTACAGCTACCCCTCAGGGTACGAAGACAGCCGTTCATCTGACGGCGGCATCCACTACGTCTACTACCCTCCCGCCGGCGAAGATTCATCATCCGAGCAGCAACGTCAGCCCCCCCCCGCGAGCAGCAGCAGCACCGCTTCCTCCTCGTCCTCTACTCCTTCTCCTGGCGCGCCTCCATCTTCGGGTTACCTCCACCTCTGCACGGCACAATCGGTGCCCCTAGGCAAGTCTCACCCTGACGATTTTTTCAGTAGGATAGGAGTGACGATAGGAGTAGAGTCTGCTTCTAGTGCTTCGTCTTTGCTGAGTGTGAAATCTAGTGAGGGGCCGCCTGGTAGCGAGAGATGGGTAGCTGACTCAGGAGCCAGCAACAGTTTCACCAACAGTGACTTGCACATGTACGACTTGCAGGAGATACCCTCGAATAGGCAGTATGTCATTGTAGGAGATGGTCGTCTGCTGAAGGTGAAAGCAATCGGTAGCATCAACCTCAGCTTTTTCCAGGAAGGTGAAAACGGTGTGCCAACGACGATGTATGTGAAGCTGACTGACGTGTCTGTGGTCGAGAGTCTGAGTTTCAACTTGTTTTCG